CCTCAAGAGGTAGAGGAGCCAAATGTCTGGCTCACTGCTGCCTACTAGTGGTCGGAGGCTGAACTACAACATAAAAATGAACGGCTGGCAGGAAAGTTGACATTTTAAACCTTTAAAAAATCGATACAGGGCTTTAGAATATCGATACAGTATCGGGAAATGAAATATTGCTATATTTCAGTGTATCGATATTTTCTTACACCCCTGTTTGTTAGTTGACAGTAAACACACAAATTTGATCTATAAATAACTTATGACTTGTTATTTCAGATAACCTACTTTACAGTAAAGGACGTTTAAACTCTTAGTTCCTATTTTCAGATGTAAATGTTGATTTTTTTTTTTAATTCAAAATGCTAATTTTCTGCTTTTTTAAATGACCGGTATAATTGTTTAATTTAAAGTTAAAATAACCTAATAAGAAAACTGGTTATCTATAATGTTGTTTACGCTTCTTTAATAAAACCTTTCCTGTCTCGTCAGCAGAGCAGCATGAAGGACGGCCACGTGGAGAGCCACGGAGCGGCCTCCAACAAGACCACGGAGCTGGACTCTAAACTGGACTCCGACCCGGGCAACATGGAGGACTCGGTGGAGTACAGACTGATGATGGCCTACGCGCAGAGGAGACGGCCCAAGAAGGAGCCACGAACAAACGGACACGAAACAACTCCAGCTCTGATCAAGACTGAAACCGACGAGAAACAGGAGAAGAAGAAGACGAAGAAGAAGAAATTTGGGACACGTCTGCTGTCGGTCTTTAGATGCGTTAAACCTCAGACAGACGAGTCAGAACAGCCACAGCCGGCGGCTGGGCGTCGTGATGTAACTGACAGATGTTTTGTTCCTCAACACGGTGAGCTTCAAATTACAGCCACAGGAAGAAACCACTCAGCGAAACATAAACTCCGGTTTTGTTTAGGAAAAAGTCAGAAAATCAAAAAGAAAAGGATGTTTGAAGCACAGAAGTGACATTTTTGTTCTGTCYGAACATTTCAGTTGACAGAAATGATAAACATAAATGTGTCGCATAATAGAAGCAGGAGTCATTAAATGTTTAATATTTTAATAAAAACCTCAGATTAAAACGCATCATTAGGAAAAGGTTTTTACAAAAACAAATGAGAATTATAATTAATTAATTCTACACACAGCTGTCTTTATTCAATATATATTTTTATTAGTCTTTTTTTAGAGATTGGATTATTAACAAACACAAAAGATGGTTGAATTTTGTTTATTTTGCACAATAAAGCTGCAGCTTGTTTTATTTTATAAGAAAGTCCAAAGACCCAATGAACAGTTTTAGATTTTTTTTATAGAAATAACTTTTAGATTGTTTAAAATATCTAAAATCTGTTCATTGTTTTTGTGGCGTTTAGGATATTAAAAAAAAGCAGGTTTGACCAGTTAAATTGTGTAAATGTATAACAACTTTGCTTATTGCATCACAAAAACACAATCTGCACCTAAACCAGCCGTACCTGATTTACAGCAGAGCCTGCTGACTGGTTTAGTTTCATCACTGCTGGTTTGTTTCCAGATTTGTTTAAAGAGGACGACGAGGAGATGGGTGAGTTGGCGGCTCAGGTGATGGGCATCATCGAGGAGATCGAGCTCAACCCTTCAGGAATAGAGAGTGATTCTAAAGAAGGTGAGTCAAAACACACAGATATGAAAGGTCTTATAAATGAATGGAAAATGTGAAAAACTAAAAACTGTTTATGTTCAGATGATGCGGAGAGGATTGTAGCTCTGCTGCTGAGAGACAGTGGAGACCACCTGCAGGACAAGGTAAACGCCCTAAGCCCCACCCTCAGGAGTTTCTGTTAAATCTYCCTCTTACGATAAATGAAATGTACTCTCGTGTGACGTAATGTTCCCTGCTCAGTTCAACACACCCACACCGGTCCAGAGTTCACCCACCGGTTTATGACAAACGGAAGACAAACCAGTTTCTGGTGACTTTATTCAGATTATTGTTTGTGTCCTGCAGTTTAAAGAAGCTAACATCGGTCTGGAGCAGTTCTTAAACTACGGCTTCTTCAGGAGCGTTCTCCAAACATTCCTGGAGAGGATAGGCTTCCGGAGCCACGACCCCAATGCTCTGGGGCCACAAGCATCCCCCAAAACCCAAATCGCAATGGCCTGTGAGGTGAGTGTCTTTTTTTTTTTTTTTTTTTTAATCCAGCTATGATGAAAGGTGGCTAAACTTAAAACAGAAGTAGCCTGGTTAAAACCAGACCCCCGTCCTTCACTTTGCTTCGTACAAGGGTCTGGACTTGCTGCATAGAGA